GAGAAGGAGAGTTTACAGCTGCTTTATTCATGCAAGAACTAAGATTATCAGTATTTTTTCTCACAAACATACTTGAGTTCATTAGGATAAAAGGAAGGTTTACCCTCAGTATTTTGGTGCACTATAGTATTTTATTAAGAAACATATTATCAAGAATCAAATTGTTTATCTTGTGTAAAATGAATATCATGAATGAATATCATGTTGCATGCATGGTATTAATCAAAACTAATTTGACCAATATAAATTATTTAGCACCAGAAAAATGTTAGTTGTATTTAAGGCAACAGTTTATTATTGTTTTTAATTTTTCTTTCTTTGTTAATTACAAGAATCACATTTTGACTCTGACAGGCGGCACCAGGGCTGGCCAATCAGATTCTAGGGGTGGCCAGTGCCGCCCCTGACTGCCCCTTGGATCCACCCATGGGTAACAAGCTCACAATAACAATGCTAACATATTAAAGTTTAGCATGTTAAAATCCTAATTAGAACAAAATACATGAACTACTATCATCGGTCGTCATATTACCAGCATGACTCAATAAAATGTAAGGGACAGCATGAAGACTGATGTTTGACGTCTAAATCCACAGGGTTCAACTCCTTTTTTAGAATGTTTATGACCCTGTGATACAGTACGGGACAGCTGCTTCCCTCCCCCATGGGGCAACTTCTATGGCTTATGAAGTTATAAACATATCTAATGAAAACAGCAGTGATGCCAGGTCGCTGTCAAGTGGACCTCGAATGAAAACTTGGACAAGGTGCGTTCTTTTAGGAGTCTAAACTTTTTGCCAAGAATCTGAATATTCCTGTTCCTCCTGCTAGCATACAGGGAGCAAATGAATCATAATATGAGGAGTACCCATGAGGAAATACCATAAAGTTTGATCACAGCATGAGGAGTAGCTGAGTTGTCTTGCATAATTCCGGACAGACATGACCTTTGTCTTTCATTAAAAAAAACTGCTAGTTTTCTCACATCCTATACTTTTCCTTATTAGGGAAACAGAATTTTTACCATTAGCAGCTGAGTATCAACACCTTAGATTCTATGAGACAGTGTGATAGGAATGAATTTAGTGTCTCTCACACACACACACACACACACACACACAAAGCGATACTGAGACACTGAAACACAGTGACAGACTGGAAGAGGCAAGTTACAGAGCCTGGAAATGCACACACTAACAGCAGAGAGGCTTGGATTCAGTCCAGATCGCCTGTCGTGCCAACTGTCAGTCATATTACACCTCTAACAAAGAATGTACTAAGCACAGCTAATTACTGGAAATCAAACTGAATACACTCTTATAAGCTGTGAGGTTGTATTGGTTTCTATTTCTGTATTTGTGTAACCGTCAACCAACAGAGTGGAATCGATTGCTTTTATACTCGCTTCACACACACACACACACATACACACACACACACACACACACCCACACCCACAGGCAGGCGGAGATGTCCACACAAATGCAGATGCTAAAACCCAGTCGGTCAGTGACCCCTCAAAGCAGCATGCTGTACTGTAATTGAAGTACATTAACACATGCCACACAAGTGGTTTTTTCCTTCACAGCTGAGGATGAGTGGTTGTAAAGTGTTTCCCTGATTCTGTGTCATTATCTCCCTCCCTCTTCGATTGATGTGCAGCAGCGGAGGGATGGGGACTATCTGAACTGAACTTTACACTCAGGTTTCAGGATGCTGTAACTTTTTGAACTCTAAGCTCTTTCCTTAAGATTTTCTGCTTGTGGAATATTAGGAAGATCTACAAACTCTTCCGCACAAAAGGAATCATTTTCAACTGTTACTGAACCATAAAATTCCATTTACGTGAATCAAGTGAAAACTATCTGGTAGTGTGGTGAGATCATTTTTACTGCTTCCAGTAAAAATGAAACATTCACGAATTCTGTGCAAACATGTCATTTTGATTCTTAGCATTTTTAATGTTGAAAGAAAAAGTCTAAACATGAGATGAAATGACACAGACTCATGATTTGTGCAGTAAAGGGACCAAACATGGTATAGAAAAATGATGAGGGTTAAGACTGTGGGACTGTTTACAAGTACACATTAGGCGCTGTGTTTTTGTGTGTTTCTCCTCGGGTTTTATCCATAATGTTGGCAGTGGAAGAGGTCTGAGGTCTGGGCGCCATGGAAAATGCCCATTAGGCCTCGGTGGGGAAGAACATCATGCACACACACGCTCTGTTTCTGTTGGACTGGCCTGCAGGAATTCACTTATTTGTGGAAATGTTAAGAATTTAAGCAATGAATCTAGGAAAGTTACACGTTAAACCAAAAACGAAATACTTCCTGAGTGGCAGTGGGGTCACACTGGTAGCTCAGTATGATGAGACGCTCGGTCCTGATCTGCTTCTTGATTGTAAATTATGTACTGTACAAATAAAATGGTCAACAAAGACCTCACACCAGCCACAAGTGCAACAACCCTCATCCTCCCTCAGTCTCTCTCCCACATGGCTGGCTCTCACTTTCCCTCAGCAGACAATGGCCTCTCTGTCTCGACTGTTTAACCACTTTATCACCAATCCTAAATACTCTCCACACCTTGTGCACACACAAGTGTATACATTATAGCCACAGTGCAATTTTCATTTTTACATCAATGGAAATACACACATACATGTACGCACAAAGACAGACATGGGAAAAAAAACAGCAACATCCATGGTGTGATACCATCCTGAAGATGCCAGAGCAGCTGAAGTATGGCACATGCCTTTGATGTGAATCCAGAGCATGGGCATGTAACGAACGCAGATACCAAATTACACCCTGTCCTGCTTTGATCTACAAAAGCCCATGCCTACTTCAACAGAGGTAACAAGATTGTGTGAGTGTGTGTGAGTGAAAGTGAGAGTGTGCATCGGTGTTTATTTAGATGTGTGTGGTTTATGTACATGCTTGCCTGCATGCTCAGCCATTTCACAAGTTTG